CATGTCAAGGCCACCAGCCGGGCGTGACCGGTCGGCCAGCCCTCATTCCCATTTCCCACCCTCGTTCCACCTCCCCTCACCACCTCTCCAGACCAGCCCCAACACCCAGGTAACGTATGCTATCCGTCATGGCTCGCCACTTGCGACTGTGACGGAGCACGTTGGTGTTGGCAGGACCTGAGGTGCCGCCGGACGCGGCCGAGCACGGGCGGACGCGAGCCGAGGCTCAGCCGGACGCGGCCGCCGCCCGGGCCAACAGCAGTGATTCGGCGCGGCGGGTGCCCACAAATTACGGGGCCAGGCGGCGGCAGCTGGCCGACGGATGTCCGGGCAGGTGGCAGCGTGAGCTCGTTCGTACGATCGCGCGCTTTGGTGTCGTTTACGCTCCGATGCCGACTAAGGTTAACCGTGACGGCTGCAGACACATGTAGATGCTGAGAGAAAGTGACGGAGCCGAAGCATTAAACTGGAAGCCAGAGCTCTTCGACTGTCACTCTTTCACCTTAATCGAGTAAGAGCGGCACTTGTAATGCTATCTAAGGACAGGCATTATTACTGATGAACTCCTGCAGTAGCAGCAGAAGCAGGGGTGCTCTGATTCATTACGACGTCCCGACTTCACCTCAGGAGGTCGGAGCACACCTCCGCGGGGCTGACGACGGGCGCGCTCTGCGCCGCGCCGTGCCCGGGTAACGGTCGGGTCGGCCCAGTTTCGCGGCCAGACCAGGTCAGCCGGCGTTCCCAGCGGTCGTGACTCGTGAACTGGCCGACTCTCTGAGAGCAGGTGTCGCCGCCGGGCGCGCCGTCCGTTGTTGACGCGGTGTGAGCAGTGGCGCCGAGACAGGTTTCGCGCTGCCGGTCCGTCTCCTCAGCCCTCGACCCCTATATCCAGCCGGCTGCTGACTGGGCGCGGCCAATTGTTGCCCATAGCGCCGACAGAGCCGGCCTGAGACGGTGTCAGCTGCTGAGAAGTGGCCCCAAGTAGCGCTGACACAGCAGGCTCCAGGTCAGGGCTGCCGCCGGTGCAAAACGGCGCGCGATCCGCCGTGGCCTGGGGCCGCTCGGCGTAAGCTCCAGTCGAGCTGGGTCAGCGTCTGGGGGCGGCGGGTGGCGGGGATAACGGAGTCGAGGTCGGAAAACCTGAGCCCGAATCCGGCCTGTGGCTGCGGCACCACCCACAGCGCGCCGCAGTGATCACCAGCGGCTCCAGTGGTGCCAACTTTCCCGCCGGGCACATAGACCAGCTGGTACAAGATCGCCACCGACACCACTACAACAGAGATCATCGGTACACCGCGGGTCATGACCCAGCTCTACGCGGTACTGGGATGGTGAAAATGTCAGACAGGGTCATCAGGACGAGTCGCCGTCGCCGGCGTCAGAGCGTGGAGAGCGCCGACGTCACTGGAGACTCCCAGGGAACACCGACGGCAGCAGAGCGTGACGAGAAATGGCGCGGTGCGGCGCAGTGTGACGCGGCACGACACCCCCGGCAGTGACCGATCGTCCTGTCGTCACTCCTGACGCACCGACACGTAAATTGGCGCGGCGCGCGACGCTCGCGGCGGGCGTGGGGTGGGTACCAGGCGATGACACGGAACAAATACCTCTGCGGTCTTCCGAGCCTTCCCTACATGCATCTACCTAGCACCAAAGCCTCAACTAGCATCAGTTCTTCTATGACTAGATCTAGTGTCACTGATGGCGGTGATAGCGATTACGATGGCGCTGACCTGGTTACCCAGCGGGGGTCGTTCGACCGGCCATTCGCCGTCGCTCGCAGTGAGGTCGGCCTGCCCCGAGGCCCGGGCCGGGTCGTGCCGGACCGGTCCGGTACATCACGGGACAGTCACGACCCAGGCCAGACCGGCCCGCCCACGAGAGGCGCGGTCGTGATCGGTGTCTGAGACGGGTCGGGACAGGCGGTAGGATCGGAGCACCCTAGCTAGATCAGGTCGGACAGGAGTAAGAGCTGGTCTAAATCAGACAGAGTGGGGCCACAATGCGCTAAAACTCAGGCGGCTCAAACCACGCACCAAACCAAACAACACCGGACCTAGCTAAGTGAACTGGAAATGGCCGCAATCCCGACCCAAGGCCAGACCAGTCATTCCAAAGCCAGTCTGCCAGGCGACGGTCCGTAGCGACACCTCCCACCTCCCCAGTAATCTACCGTCTGGCGCCGCGCTACGCCCTAAAACCCGGCGAGACGGTCGCGGTCGGGACCAGGGCAAAAAACGTCTGCCGCTGCCGCGGTGGCGACGGCCAGGCGAGGAACGCGAAGGCCGAGCGCCGCGGGCCGCACTCCACTCGAGCCCTCCGCGGACGCCGCGGTGCAGGGTCCCACTTCACTCTGACCCTCCGCGGGTGGATGGAGAGGAGGGACGTCCCGGACGGCACCGCCCGACGGCTGACGCCTGGCGGGGCCGACGGCCGGCCTCGGTGCGTAGTAGAGTTCTGCACGGCTGCAATTTTCCACAGCCTAGCCGCCCCGCAGCCGTGGCTCCACAGCCACAGCCGCCCACAGCCGTGGCAAACTGTGGGCAGCCAGCCGTCAGCCGGCCGTGGATACTTTCAATGAGATGCAACCAAATAGTATATAATAAGTTGTTTCTAGTTGAAACATATAGCCAAAAGCACATTGCAATGGGCTATAGATTCTCAAGCTCATGAAGCATCATAGGTTAAGTGGTTGTGTATCTGGCTTTAGGCCTGAAGCCTGATGCGCAACGCATGCCTACACAAGCCCTTGCAAGGGGTTAAGAAAGATGGGTAGGTACTAGGTAGGTAACTACATCAACAGAAAACATAAATAACGAACCAGAACTAGGAATGTAGACATCTAATGCCAAATACTGAAGCATGGTTGTGGGACAGAACAACAGACCCTGATGCTTTTCATTATCAATGTTATGTATGGAAAATGAAACTGAAGTTGATGGACTGTCAAACAGTGATTGTCTAGTCAAAACTCTTGCTTCTTTCTTACCTTGCATATTTTCTGGGGTGTGATATGCCAGGCTTGAAGCAGCCTCCTGAGCAAGTCCCAAACTAATTTGATATGCAATGCATCAAAACACTAGTGATCATCCAAGAAAGAAAAACATTCATCTATTTTGATTTTCCAAATAATATGATCTTCGCTCAAATCCCCAAGGCCGTGCGAGCAACAATTGCCTCTTTCAATCAAAAATTTCACTCGAGTTTTTAATGACGTCAATAGCAAAGAAGTGGCAATAAATTGTTTTGTGTCACTATAAACAGCCAAAAAATTATAATTAAATAAATAATTACGGAGCGAGCGAAGCGAGCGGAGTCTTACGTAGAATAACGGAAATTTCTGAGTATGAGCGGCCGGCCGGCCGGCCGGCCGGCCGGCCGGCCGGCCGTGCGGACGCTTTTGCGAGGCTTATATCTCAGCAACCACTTGACCGATTTACATGCGGTAATTTTTGTAGGGTAGCTTCATTCCTTCTACCAAGTATTGGACTATTCCCGATGCATGTGGGTGACCCCTTATGCACGTGCCACGTGCAAAACGAAGAGGTGTCAGTTTTGCAATTGTTGCAATATCTCGGTAACTACTTGGCCGATTGCGCTAAAAGTTGGCATGTAGGTAGGCACCCACTAGGCACTGCATATCCATGTGCCAGAGTTGGGGTGCCGCTGCACGTGCGCACGTGCAGGGGTCGTTTCCAGATCTCGAGAACGGCTGGACCGATGGCGCTCAAATTTGGTACACGGTTAGGGACCAGTTAGTAGGGTGCCGTGCACAAGTCAGTTGGGACCCATTTTGCACGTGCGCACGTGCAGGGTGCCGCTTCCAGATCTCGAGAACGGCTGGGCCGATTGTGCTCAAATTTGGCACATCGCTAGAGACCGGTTAGTAGGGTGCCGTGCACAAGTCAGTTGGAGGTACCCCCTCGAAATATCGCACGTGCAAGGCTCACCCTCTCGCTCGCTCCGTTACTCGCCCCAAAAGGCGTTATACTGGTAATACTATACAGTTAAAAACTAGCCCTCAAACAAAGATTAGGTATCAAATTTTTATATTTTCAGAAGGATACGTCATTTTATTAGTAAAGTCAACAGCTCGCGTAAGAAATATTGTGTTGAGGGTTTTCACCATCATGTGAATTACGTGTTAAGGGGTTTCACCATCATGTGAATTAACCGTAAGTAAGGTTCATGCTCACTTATAATCTAATTCCATTGGCTCTGTTGATCAGCATTTTCTGTTAGCGGTCACTCACACACCAGTTAGAACATAAAGCGCCAGTTTTATATTATGTAATTGGACTTGCCGAAAATCCAGAAATACATCTAAGAGTTATTTTAGATAATATTTTATGAAGCCTTTACCTGCCTTTACCTAGGCGTGATTTCTTTTTCTATTACCTGAAAGAATTATTGAACGCTCGTCTTCAATAGCTGTAAGGTGCTCTCCTAATGACCAGGTGATGAGGTGAGATTGATTTCAATTTGAGAGGGATGTGACACAGACAATGCAACATGTTGCATTTTCTGAAACTGTCAAGCTCTTGATGATGAAGGAACAATTGGTACCTATAATTAGTATTCTGTACCAGAGTGCAAACTCCCCTACAGCAAATGGTTAAACCATTACAGGTTTTCAAAGGCTTCACCACTTTCAATGTTGCTGGGCATCCTTTGCATGATTTTTACAGGCTAGACTGCTTATCAGAATGTAAGATTAAGGATTTAAAATTTTATAATTGAGTACTTAAGATTGAGCTTGAAATCTAACAGCCGTGGCCACAGCCGCAGCCGTGTTCTTGGAGATATTTGCAGCCGCCCTGGCCCACAGCCGTGGGGCTGCAGCCAGCCGCGGCTGCAGCCGGCCGGTGCAGACCTCTAGTGCGTAGTTCGCTGGTCAGCGGAGAGTCGCAGAGAGCAGGGAGGGTCAGTCTGCGGGCAGAGTGCCCAGAGGCCCGCCCAGGTACGGGCTGGAGCGGGGGCGGCGACAGCGCGCCACTCACCTGAGTCGAGGCAGGCTGCGGCCCCTTCATTCCATCGTCTGCCGACCCGGTGTCCTCTGCGAACGGACAGAAACGAAAATAAACACTCGGCCTCGGGGAGCGACAACACACACAGCACTCCCCGCGGAGGGACGCGGCTGGCGCAGGTGAAACACGGGGCGCGGAGAGCGCCGACGGCCGGACCACCCACACAGGCACTCAGCGACATCGGGTGACTACATCAGATATCGCGTCGAACAAGCTTACACATCATTCCATGTTTTCAGACAAAGAGAGAACAAATTGCTAGAATTTGCCTATCCTGTCAGATATATCACGTAACACAAGACCTAACTATTACGTTGCAGCTATATTAAACTCAGTTTACCTGCGGCTTTCCCCATTCACCCTCCTTTCATTTCAGCCAGCCGGGCGGCCGCGTATCCATTACCGCACACAATGAGATGAATTACGAGCACCGGGTGATCTCAGCAGTTTCCGGAGACCGGGCACGCTCCGTCGGCCGTGTATGATTTGTTTCGGCCGTGACTGCTGTGCTCGAGGTCACGGCGCCGGCTCGTGACGGGCGGCCGCCGGGGACGGCCCCTCTGCTCCCCGGGTCACGACAGGCTGGGATGGTGGCGGATATTGCGCCAAAACCGCCCACGCCGCATGCACTCAGTTTCCTTGATGTATTTCAGGGCAAACCAGTCACGTCTATACGGTTGCTGCTTTTCTGCAACGCCTGCTTCCTAATTCCTTTCGCTCACCTTCTTCGCAACTCTACTCGCTCCCCACACCTAAATGACCTTAACTCTCACCTCCAGAAGACTGCCTAAAAGGTAGGCCTCCAGAATACGTCTAAGGTTGACTGACAGACACCGCTTCGGCGTTTCCGCAAAGGAGTTTATATCAAGCCTGAGAAGCCCCTTGACAACCAGAACAGCAGAAAGCCGTGGTGAAGAGAATGATATTCAACGGTTCCGGACAATTCATTGATACAACGAATACAATCAGTCCAACAGAAGGCGGCTGCTGTGCCGAGAGATGGCACCGGGCTTTCATCGCGAGGCTTCACGGTGTTGGGTTGTACCAAGTGGGGTGGGAACAAAAGAGCTAGGGAAATCAAACGAGGAGGCATTGTGACAGTCGTTATTGCAGGCTTCGTGGAACCACGATCCAGCACGTGTCACGCTGGCCGTGCACTGTGCAATGCGAATCGATGCCATTTAATTAAGGCGAAGTAATGTTCCTGTACTGACTAGTGTCTAGTGCCACGAACGCTGCACATGAGGACAGGACGGTAAGTACCGGATGTGTAGTGCTATGCTGGGGGTGGTTGTCCATTTTTAGGCAAACTTCTTTCTAAAAGCAGACTTCTAAATCGCATAAGAGAGTCCGCGTGTGTGCGCTGTCTCTGTGTGCCCGTTTCTGACCGCATTGGCAGTCTCCCCCACGTCCGCATGTTGGCCACTCTGCTGCCGTCACCAGCAGGCCGGCCTGGGCTCTCGCTCCGGGGACAGGCGGTGCGGCTGCCTCTGCTGGTGACGGGTCTCCGCCCACCCGATCTGATCCGGGGGCGAGACCGGCAGAGCTGGGACGTGAAGGAGGGAGCGAGGGGTCGCTATGACACGCGTCTGACCACAAAAGAGGAAAGGTCAGTGGTGGCAGGTCGAGTGGCACTGGCACTGGAGGAAAACTTCCGGGGAATAACCAGCCGCAGACGTGGAAATGGGAGGAGAATAAATCATTACGTGGTAGAATTCCCGAGATCTGAAGCTGTTGTCAGCCCAATGACTTTGGCTGACACTAAACTTTGCAGCTTATGATGACATTGCAATATTAATTTCTTTTTACACTTCTGTAACCTGTATCACACTTGCAATATCGGTTATGAACTAACAGGTCGTCTTTATCTGTTTCCAATCGTCCCCTGTAGCTGTTTCTACTAACGTCTAGGCATGTCCTTGTCAGTCTCAGTTTTTGTCTCATTCCCCATCTACATCTTTCTAGTATAATGAATCCATTACGTTCCCTCCGTCCTTCCAGCCATCTACCGTTTGCCCATTTATCGTCTGTATTCAGAGATGTCACAGTGTCGAATGTAATTATGACGCATATTGGGAGCGCCACGTGATGAACAAATGGCTGCGGATGGTCGGGGCAGGTGCGACCCGTGAATGGGCGTCGTGCTTTGTTCTGGAATGAGCACAATCACGGCGGTGAGATGCATCATCTCCACACAGGTGATCCAGAACAGGTGTATAGAGCCGCGAGAGAAGAGGGAGAGGAACCGCCGGTCGCCGCATAACTGTCGATCGATCGAAAAGGCAAAAACCGAGCCCGTTCATCGCCCTCCTGCCGGGAGCGTGAAATGCCGCCCCATGGCATCCGTCACGACAACGCCGATCGTGAAGTTCACGGCGTGGGTCGGCGGCCATAACTCTGATCACGACGTCTGGGGAGCGGCCGGCCGGCCGGCGCCGGGCGGGCCGTGACCTTGGCAGGTGCCGGTCACCGACCTCAGGGGGCGGCCGTGGTGACGTCACCGCCCCGCGTGACCGCTGACGTCACCGGCCGCGCCCTGTGACGTCAGACTCTCGGAGGCTGACCGGGCAGTTCGGCCGCGGATCCGGCTCGGTACACGCAGGTGGGTTATCTCTAAGGCGATCTGCCGACTCCTGAGCGGTCCATGATGATGGAAATGACGCCGAGGCTGATTGAAGAGCGCTGGTGCGTGACGCGAGATCTGGATCTGTGACGGCGACCGGCTGGGTCAGTCTCTACCTACACGACAGGTGACCCTGATCACACATGTGGAGCGGATCGGTCCACATCTGGTCTAAATGTGGTGCACGTGTCGATGTCGACACAGGAGCCAGTTCGTCGTGCGGTCAAAGCTCAATGAGATGTTACACTGCTGGAAGACGCAGCTCCACAAGAATTACCAACACTGCCTCATCTTCAAGACTGCCACTTCAGATGATTCAGAAGAGCGAGTCCGATTTCAAAACCGTATACGGTGGAACTTCGCTTCCAGAATGATGGTCCAAATCAGCGATGTTCCCTTCATTTTCCTGCCATAGCTTTGTCGACTTGGTAGTTCACGCCACGCATGGCAATGGAGGTAGTTACTGCTGTGCACGGTTGACAGCTTTATGATGTAGTTGGAGTGTCATGTAAGTATCCAGCAATTATAATTTTCCAAATTAAAAACACTCTCATTCCCGTTGCAGTAATTTTACATGCGTCTCAATCAGCACATTAGTTACACAGTGTTTCAAAGGCTCACTTCAAGAGCAAACTGCTTCAAATATAACCCGGGTCGTAGTCATTACAGCATAAGCTTATCTTAAGCCTTCCCGGGGAGGCGATGCATGAAACTACCTCTCATATCGGGCCAGAACCACTGATGACCCCCGCAGTTATGTAACAGGTGGACATTCTCTCCATAATTTCACACCCTCCATGCCCAAAAGCAGGTCAACTAACCAGTCTCACCCTACCGCTGAAATCACCTTCATCGCCACCTCCAGGACCAGGATCTGACCCGACACACACACGGCGCGGGTCAGGTCATCGACCTCGGGCCGGTCGGGCCGCTCAGTGACACTGTCGGTGGCTGTGCGAGCTCACGACACGCTCTCACGGTAACCAGAAACACCGGTCTGGCGGAACCGGCCGTCAGACAGACAGACAGACAGACAGACAGACAGACAGACAGACAGACAGACAGACAGACAGACAGACAGACAGACAGACAGACAGCTGGTCGGCTTATCCCAGCGGTCGCCGGAACGGGCTCAGTCGGATATCCTTGTTTATTTCAGTCTGTGTTCACTTGCTTCAGTCACAACACGGAACAAAAGAATCATAGTGCGATACAGTTCTAGTCTTCAGCTTCATCTTCATCTTCATAGCAGCTTCAGTCCCAGTCAAGCCCCATAGCCAGCATCAGTCCAGCTTCCACCTCAGCTCCCGCCGCTGGCCTTTTTCACCCATTCACGGCTCCCCTCCCGAGATGAGCGGTCCGCTTAGTGTCTATATCGCCGGCTCTTGCTAAGCCCCCTAGACCATCGTATTCATCCCCGGCGACGCGTTAAATCGATGTCGTCATTTCCTGTCGGCCCCAGGGACAATCTCGCATAGTAATCGGAAACTTACTATAGGTAAGCCGGTGTCCCCGTCTCGCCTTCCTTCACTCACTGTTTTATCATTCTGAGATTTTAGTCATCTGAGTGAGCCTTCGATAAGAAACTGCGGGTTGGGACGGTTAAGTAAGATAAGTGTGTAAGTAAGATGGCAAATTATCACGTGACTGCGCTACAAAGAAGCCGAATCAGCGACAAGCTGGGTGCTGCTAAGTCGACGAGCCGACGGGCTTTGCGCTCATATCCGATAAAGAGGTCGTGCAACCCGCAATTAAGTTATCGTTCTATCACTTTACGGCGACCAAACCCAGGTCTGCCAGAAATGTAAGAAAGGTAAAGTCAGCTCTTTCTGAGCTCTGTGGACATTCATTTCTCTCGTCACGTTTCAAATATTTTGAATCAATGGATCATCACTTGCTGACGCATTTACGCATGTATAGGTGGTAGGTACTAGCCTTCCCAGACGAGCAACAAATAAAACGTCAGATAGACGTGTAATATGGAAACACTCCTTTTTTGCTACAAAACGGGTCATCGATATGCCCTAGGCTAGCAATTTTATATCCCCTCACACCACCTCCATGCGACACCTCTCACATGACACCACCCCTACCTCGCCCCGCTCGTTTCAGCCCCCACACTGCGGGTTTGTTGACCTGTCAGCTGCGTTCCGACCCGCGCGCCGTCCCCGACGGACACTTGCGGTCCGCCCCACAGCTACCGCTGCCACCTGTGGCTCCGTTCCGCCCGTTCCGTCTGCCGACTCGCTCGCAGCTCCACAGCGCGACTACGCAGTCGACCATTATGCCCGGCCGGCGCGCACCAAATATGACGCCATCGGCGCGTTTACGGTCGCCATTCGACGGCGGCGCTTCCTGCATACATATTGCGTCACCACGCAGCGCGGCAAACGGCGATAGAAGAAC